CCGAGCGCCCTGGGTGGAGACGGAGACGCAGAAGAGGCCGAGGACTTCACCTCCTCCTCTCACTGCTCGGAGCTGTCTCGGCGGCAGAACGAGCAGAGGAAGCAGGGTTTGTTCTGCGACGTGACGCTGGCCTTCAGCAGCGGGGCGGCTACCGGGAACGTCCAGAGCTGCGAGTTTTCAGCCCACAGGTCTGTCCTGGCTGCAGCTACCGACTATTTCACCCCTTTGCTGGGAGGACAGTTCTCCGAGTCCTTGTCTGGACGGGTTGAGATGAAGGAATGGAGCTCAGAGCTGGGTCCGGACCCGGACACGGTGGAAAGTGTCATTCAGTATATGTACACTGGAGAAATACGCGTTAGCACTTGCAATGTACATGAAGTACTGGAGCTAGCCGATAGGTATGATCCGTTTACAGCCTCATTTATATTAGAGTGTTTGTGTTTTTCAGAAATAGTGATTTTGATAGTAAAAGTATTGTTTTTGTACTAAACTAACTGCATTGATGGGTCAAAACAGAGCAGTGTCATCTAGTCAACATGGACTGTTCATTTTTAATCTTATACAGTATTTCCATGTCTGCTCTGTATTAGGTTCCTCCTGCTGCAGCTGAAGGATTTCTGTGGTGAGTTCCTTAAGAAGAAGCTTAGCTTGACCAACTGTGTGGCAGTGCACAGTCTAGCCCACATGTACACCCTGGACCAGCTGGCTCTGCGGGCTGCAGACATGATCCGCCGCAACTTCCATAAGGTTATCCAAGATGAGGAGTTCTACACGCTGCCCTTTCACCTGGTTCGTGACTGGCTGTCTGATGCAGAGGTCACAGTGGACTCTGAGGAGGTGCTATTTGAGGCTGTGGTGAAGTGGGTGCAGAAGAATCCAGATGAGCGAAGCCGTTACTTTGAGGAGCTGTTCCGACTCTTGAGACTGCCCCAAATCAAGCCCACCTACCTGACTAGGGTGGTGAAGAATGAGCGCTTGGTAGCTGCCAACGAGGCCTGTCTCCGGCTGGTGTCAGAGGCAGTTGAAGGTCATGCTATTCGCTTTGAGAACCTCAAGTCGGCTGATATGGAGCTCTGGTCTTCCCACATGGCCTCCTTCCAGCCTCGCTTTGGCCAGAACATGGATGTTATCATGGTAGTGGGTGGAGTGTCAGAGGGAGGGGACTATCTGAGCGAGTGTGTGGGCTACTTCATTTATGAGGACCGTTGGGTCAACCTGCCACACATCCACAATCACCTGGACGGCCACGCCATTGCTGCCACAGAGTCCTATGTCTACGTAGCAGGTTCTATGGAGCCTGGCTTTGCTAAGACGGTGGAACGTTATAACCCTAATCGCAACACGTGGGAGCAAGTGAGCAACTTGACTACACGCAAGCACTCATTTGGCCTCACCTGCATTAAGGATATACTATACAGCATTGGTGGCCATGGAAACTTCAGTCCAGGTTTCAAAGATGTCAGTGTGTATGAGCCTGAGCAGGACAAATGGCACAACCTGGAATCTGCCCCCAAAATCTTGCGGGATGTGAAGGCAGTCAGTGTGGAGGACCGCTATGTGTATGTGACTGCACGCACACCTGTTGACACAGATAATGAGGATGGACTGAAGACAGTGACTGCTCGGTATGACACAGAGAGCCGCCAGTGGCAAGATGTTGACTCCCTGCCCCTTATTGACAACTACTGTATCTTCCAGATGGCTGTGGCCTCTACCAACTTCTACCACACAGCGTCCTGCTGCCCCAAGAGCTACTCGGTACGAGATGAGGTTGCCAGGCAGAAGATCAGCCTGCGTATCTCCGATGAGATCCTGGAAAGCCTGCCACCAGAGGTTACCAGCATCGAGGGTGCTGCCATCTGCCACTTTGATGAGGATGTCTTCATCATTGGAGGCTGGAAGAACAGTGACGATGTGGACAAGCAGTACCGTAAGGAGGCCTACCGCTACTGTGCTGAGCGTAAGCGCTGGATGCTGCTACCCCCAATGCCTCAACCTCGCTGCCGAGCCACTGCCTGCCATGTACGCATCCCCTATCGTTTCCTGTATGGCTGCCAGCGCTACCCCATGCCCCAGAACTTGGCCCGCCAGCGAGACCGCATGCAGCAGATGCAGCAGCTACATCGGCGTACCCTCACCCTGCGCCGGCAGCTCCAGTCACAGATTGAGTGTTAAGTGTTAAACTACAGGGTTGGGTCTGAGGGCGTAAACCACCATTCCATCACAGCTGTCATCATTACCCCCATTCATAGATAACATGCTGTAGCAGGTCCTATGTTGCTCTCATACTGCATTTTATTAAACAGAACTGTGTGCTATTAGAGCTCATGCCGTGTTGTGTTAAAGGCTGATTTGTGGAAAGCCATGAAATGTGTGGGCGTGTTGATCTGTGAGGAGCAATGTAATGGCAAATGTAAACATGTGAATAAGAGTGCTATATTGCAGGCAATAACTGACTATCATTCTGTCAAATATGTTGGCATAGATGCTGTTTATCTGTTTGTACATAAAAATTATAAAGCCATATATGTATACATTTATATGGATATTTTACATTCCTTTATTGTATGCCTGTACGTGGAAGGATAACAAAAAAAAAAACACATTCCTACATTCAGTCCTGCTTAATGAAGTCTCATTCCATTTTAACACTGTGACAATCTCCTCATGCAAGTATAAAATCTGTCAAAGTCTAACTTATAGATGCTTTATTAGAATGGCTCTGCTTGTTTCTGTGTAACCTCAACAATTACATATGACTTGATTCAGAAAGACTGCTCATCTTAAAATCCTGGAAACTAGGCTGCTTTTAGAGTGCAGTTTCCCCTTAAACAGTTGTACAGAGTATATTTCTGTTGTATTTGTTGCTCATGTAACACTATAGAACTAGCAGGTTTCTGAAGAGATGAAATGATGAAACCGGTAATGTCCAAAATCTATGATATGATGTAATTAAGTCATTCCTTTAAGTTGTCTTAACATTTCATTGGAACACTACATTAAGCGCCAATCTTTGGCAGTGGCTCTGGCATTCCTTTGTTTTGCACTTTGGCAGTCTATTCCTCAGTGTGTTCCCATTCTTTCAGGAAAGATGCACTATAAATGTTTCTGTTTGTGAGTGTGGGGGTGTGTGGATTTGTGTTTGCAGAAGGTTCTGTTGTCACGTTGCAAACGATGGCAAAAGCTTGTCTAGAGCTGGACTTTGTGTCATCTGATTGATTGTAAAGTCTTAAGGGATTTAAGTTGCCACAACACTTGGACTTAGCCTGTTTCATATCAGACAAGGTGACTGTATTTATGGAAATGCTTTTTTTTGCCAGTTGCAGCTAGTATTTTTTGATCTACTATGGAAAAACCATACTATAATAATTTCATATTTGTTCTTAACATTAAATGTCTTGTAAAACCTTGTATTACTGTACTTCCCTTCCAGCTGGGTGTTTACTAGAAATCTGCTATGTTGTTCTGTGGTCTTCTTTCATCCTCTAGAGACCAGATCAGATGAAATTAAATCAGACTTCTAGGCAAACCAAAGGGATTGTTATAGGAGTGTGTTGTGACTGACATTCATAAATTCCCACTGTCCATGCAGCACCTATTGCAGCATAAAGGTCACAGAGAGCAGAAATGATATTCATTTCCATTTTATGACCAACATAAATAGCACTGAAAATATCAAGTGGAATAAGCTATGTAATTTGCTTTGCACGTGATAGTCTTACACTGTGTCCTTATATTGGATGTAAGAAAAGCAAATGTCATCACCTGCAAATAAAGTTGTTTTGTAAAGCAAATGTTTGTAATGTAGTGTGCTATTCTTTGTTGGACTTGACTAGTTTAAGGAGTTACTACCCAGAGGTCTACCAAAACACCTAAACTGTGTATAACTGGTTAGTCCTGTAGTTCTAGCGTATCTGTTGAGACACAACAAAGTTAAAAGTGTGCCTGCTGTGACTTATAACAACAGTAGGTCGACCTCACTCTGTAATGTAATAAAGGGTATTAGCTTTTATGATTAGGAAGTGTTTAGTTTGATTAGATCATCTGAAGTGTATAGACCATTGTAAATTCGGCCAGTTTCCCCTCTACTGGGTCCAGCAGAGAAAGCCAACTATATAGACGGGTTGGGAGGAGACTGATATAAATGTATTTGCATTTAGTACCCTAAAGATAAAGTCCTGCCTTCATGTAGACTCGTAATTGTGATACTCTAGACGAAAATAAGGAATCGCGGATACATATACTTATTCCTGACCTCACTTTTAGCATAGTTTTCCGTTATGGCTTCCACCCATGATCTCTTGTAAATTCTAACATCTCAGTTTCGTAGATATCATTATTAACACTGAAGTTCGACTTTTAAAACTCCCAATTCCTGACACTTACGACTGTACCGGAAGTCAACATCTCTGGCTACAGATGATTCTGTCGTCCATATCAATGGTTACGTTAGTTACATATTAACGTTAACAGAGACTCACGGCTTTTGTCAAGATATCCTTTACGGATCGACGATACATTTCAGGAAAATGGTAATCTTATTCAGAAAGTTGGAAGGGAATGCTTATCACCAGAAAAGATGTGCGAACAGCAAGCTTGATATTGCGAGCTAATTACTGCACTGTGGCGAATTAACGTTAGCATTACATTGATTTGGCTTTGTTAGTTATTGTTCTAGCATTATACTGTTTCAGAAAATGTGTTGCAGTACAAGAAACATAATTGCTATGGCTATATTGTCAATGTGTTTTTGTTGTGACAAACGGCGAGTATACAGGGCATAAATTAGCTAGCTAAATAGTGTGCTATTAAACTTGGTGCTAGCAACTAACCGGTTAGCTAGCTGGACTTCTGTTTGCTGTCTAAAGAAGCAATACGTTTTGCAGAAATCCTGTGTGATATTTCGTTTAATTACTGCAGTATCTCATTGACACATTTTTCTGCTAAGATTCCAGAGTTGTCCAACCGTTCGGTCTGTATGAAGGACCCCCAGAGGGTGCAGGAGATCCTACAGTCCATGATGAAGGCTGGCTCCGACACTGTACAGGTAAATAGCATCCTGATCTTTGAGAGCTGGTATGAGCAAAATCAGATACGGAAAAACTAAAGTTGTATGTTTATATTCTTTTCTTTCCTGACCCAGGTGATCTCAGATTTTGACATGACCCTAACAAGATTTGCATATAATGGCAAAAGGTGCCCTACTTGTCACAGTGAGTCCACCAGTGGTTTTGGGGTTGGCATATATTCAGTATAAACAGTGGTTTTAGCTCAACCTTTTTCATGGCTGTGTCACTTTGTGTGTCTATTTTATTTGCAGATATTCTTGACAACAGCAAACTCATCTCTGATGACTGCAAAGGAAAGGTAAGAAGGACGCTTCAGAGAAAAAGTTGTCCATTGGTAGAACTAATGCCACTTAAGTAAACCTGCACACAATTTACTGACATTAGTATATTGGGATTTTGTTACAAAAACAAGGACAATTTAATGCGTCTGTACATTTTGTGCTGGCATTGAATGAGCAATGTTTATTGTAGGTGATACTGTAACTAATTTCTTAATACATAAATCATCAAGCTTATACATTGCCTATTTTTGTTATATTGTTTCACATTGAATATTGCATTAGGCCATGATTTAGTGCAAAATAATTCAAGATTCAAACGGTCTCAAAGTTAGGATAGTTTCTCTGCAAAACTATCATGTATGGGTGATCAGGAGTTATATTTCCTTCCACATAACATTATGACTGCTGAGGGTAAGTGAATAACATTGATTACAATAGCACCCGTCAGCGTGTGGGGTATATTAGGCAGCAAGTAAACATTCAGTCCTCGAAGCAAGAAAAACAGGCGTGCGTAAGGATCAGAGTGACCTTGTCAAGGGGGTGGGAGCATCTCCCACACTGCAGGTCTTGGTGGGTGTTCTTGGTCTGCAGTGGTCAGTACCTACCACCAGTGTCTAAGGAAGGACAGACAGTGAACTGGTGACAGGGTCATGGACGCCCAAGGCTCACTGATACTAAGGTTGACCTACTGTAGATTAAAATTTTAAATTTCATTCAGCCTTTTCAAAAGATTACATTTTGTTTGAATCTTTGTTAAAATGGTTGAAAATGAGAAATACTGTACATTGGTCTGTGAGGAGAAACAATCAGCGGCTGTAGTGGTGATATCACACCTAGAGTGAGGAGACTGTTAAATCTGTCTAAAAACTTCTCTTACTTTTCCTCACGACCACAGTTTTCACCCCTTTTACATAAGTTTTTCACTGAACGGTCGACACATTCGTGCTCTTCCTGACAGTGGAACTATGGAAGCAATGGATTCACAGAAGATGCACAATGAGCTGCAGAGTGACACGAGTGCCAACCAACTGCTGCATTAACTCCTGTGTACACAGTATTAGGCAGGTGGTCATAATGTTACAGCTGATCAGTGTATACTCCATTGCAGAGACAATATAAAAAACAATGCATTTTCTTCTCAGGTCTAAAGCAGTAAACATCTATATGCTCATGAAAACATACTTTCTTTTACATTGAGTTTGTCTGTCCCCTAGTGGATGATAGGAGGAATGGACACATACAGCTGAGATGAGCATTTATTTAGTAATGCAGACATTTGAAGTGTCCTTGTTATAGCCCCTGTTTGTATTTGTATTGTGGCATATTTTTCAGTAAGATTGGATTTTTAAGTAAATACATGGACCGTTAGTGGAGTGTAGCCATAAACAAAATTAAATGGGCCTAGGAGAAACATCATCCCTCTTCCATAATGAACCACAACCAAAATAACCTTGGAAATCAACTGGACTTGGATGACTGAGAATCTGCACAGATAAACTCTTCCATAATGTCTTCTGAATTCTGTGATATAATCTGACAAGAATTTCTCAACTGAAGGCCATCTCAAAGGCTCACTGAGGCCATCGTTTCTGGATATTTACCAGTTACAGTTTGCTGAATAGTATCCTGTCTCCCTCAGCTGAAGGACCTGCTCAACACATACTACCCCATAGAGATTGATGCATCACGGTCAGTAGAGGAGAAGCTGCCTCTTATGGTGGACTGGTGAGTGTTCATGAAATCTGATGATACCGGACTGGGAACTTGCAGTGTTGCTTTGTTACACTTATAAATGAAAATACCACTGTATTTAGTTTTTACAAACTTCTCTGTATACCCCTGCACTTGAATGTGTTCAAAAACCATGGTGCACCTACACCTCATAGGTGGACTAAAGCTCATGAACTACTGATACAGCAGAAGATAAGGAAAGACCTGCTGGCCATGGTGGTGCAGGAGTCTGATGTCATGTTGAGGTGAGAAAACCTCCTTCCTCTGAAGCCCAGAACATCTGTGGCAGTTCAAATGCTGAAAAGACTTGATAGCTTGGGTACTTGAACTCTAATCATAAGTTGGTGTTTTAACAGGGAGGGCTTTCAGGTTTTCTTCGACCACTTGTATGAGCACAGCATCCCTCTGCTCATTTTCTCTGCTGGAATAGGAGACATACTAGAAGAAGTAATTCGCCAGGCTGGTGTCTTCCACCCCAATGTCAAAATCTTCTCCAACTACATGGATTTTGATGAGTCTGTAAGTAGCCACACCACAAACATACTATAGTGTGACCCTAGTCTGACTCCCACAGCAGGGCATGAGGCTTAAGATGATGGAGGTGTGCCTTGATTTGCCTACAAAGGGAGTATTGAAGGCCTTCAAGGGAGAGCTGATCCATGTCTTCAATAAAAGGGAAGGCGCCCTGCTCAACACAGGCCATTTCCAAGAGCTGCGGACACGACCTAACGTATTACTGATGGGAGACTCTCTGGGAGATCTGACCATGGCTGACGGGGTGCAGGACATGGAGAATATCCTCAAGATCGGGTTCCTCTGTGACAAGGTACATGTAAAGCACACACTGTCATGGTCATTAAAATGATTGGATACTAGTATTCTGTACCAGTGTCCTCATATGAATGTCAGAACTCAAACATTCACATCTACCCTCCTTAAGAGACGAGCACCCTCTCAGAATATACCAGGTTAAACTGTTGTATTCTGACATTTTAATACATCTGTTTTATTTCTCAGGTACAGGAGAGGAAACAGTCATACTTGGACTCATATGACATTGTGTTGGTAAAAGATGAAACCTTGGAAGTCCCTAATGCTATAGTGCTCTACCTCACTGGCAGTAAGTGAACTGAGAACTGATAGTGTTTGTCTGCTGGTGATGGCGAATTGACAACCAATTAACAATGTTTACGTTTAATTTTACTAAAGGGTCCAGACCTGTGTGAATGACTCTGGGTTAGCACAATAGCTCTGCCAGACTATTCACATGTTCAGATGACACCTGCAGTTCACATACATCACATCTTTTATTTTTCTGTCCGTTGTCCTTCCTCTCACATTTATGGCTAAACTGCTTTTGGACCATGCTGCACTTTATACCATGTAATGTGTGTGGGGGGTTTTTTGTTTATTTTTTATCATTTGTTTTGGTGTGTCAAGTCTTCCCATTTTTGGCCATATTGCCAAGCAAAAAGTACATGATGTATTTTTTGTTGAAGCCGTTTTTTCTATAACAGTACTAAATGGTAGACTATGGCAGCTGCATTTGATTTTAAAAGTACAGTTATAAAGGAATAGAAATGCAAATATCTAGATTTTAGAGAGAGGTCAAGTGATTTGTAAGAACTAACTGCTACCTCAAAAATGTATAGTCAGGAAAAATACTGACTTTGTTAGTGTTTCACATGGTTTTAACTGTATGGTTGTTAAAAATAATTAAAATATGTCACTTTCTGTGGAACAAACTGAAGTTTCTAAAAATCTTAGGTTATTTTTATAACAGCAGCTGAGGATGACAGTGACTTTTTGTCTGTCATTTGTGGACAGTGTGCTTCTTACAGTTAAGTGCAATTCTTTCTTCTTTTGTCCAAACTGTTTCAACTTGTCTAAATTAAATGGTTCAGTCTGACTGTGATCTTTGTTTCATTACAAACAGGCCACTATATAAAAAGCTGCCCAACTATTTTGCAGTATGTGTCTGGCCAGGAAGAGTGTAATAAGTAAAGCTGGTACAGTCCATATTTAACTATAAAATTGTTTATTTGATGTTCCATAAAACACACAACAGATTTTCTGTGATTGTACAAACTGGCCACTCCCTAAACACTCTCCAACCAGTGGTTTTTCATCATTTTTACATCAAGTGGAAGTGAATAGGGCACAACATTCACTCTAGATCCATAGCTTGTCACAATATGTTTATACAAGGTGGAAAATTCCATAAGATGGACCTTGTCCAAATACTTCCTTAAATAGTTCATTATAAATGCTTGAATCCAATATAGCTTTTTAAAATAAATGTAAACATTTCTTGTGCTGTAAGTGTTGTCGGTTGTTGGAATGGTTTGACTTATTCTACTGCAGAAGGTGTGAAATGTCACTGATTGATTTTAAAAGTCTGCTATAACTTAAGGTTTAACAGTGTTTCTGAAACATTTTCAAAATGGCTTCATGACAATTGCTAAGACAACAATATAATCCCAGCCAAAGCATATGTCCGTTAGCACTGCTGAAACACTGTATACGTCTCCTTTACAGCTCATCTCGTGTCGCTTGTTTAGGCTCCTCATCCACCTCCTGTTTCAGTTCATCTTCGACAATCTTCCCATCTTTATTATGGTCTAGATTATTGAACATGTCCTTAATGACCTCATCTGCATCAACCCCTGGCCGAAGACGACCTTTCCCCTCTTTAACTTGGATCATGATGAAGGATGAAAACTGGAGAAAACAGCAGATAGTTGCACAGTTAAATAGATTTTATTGCTTGTATCAGGCTGTTTTACTTTAAAACCTTAAAGGTGCATTAACTACTTTCTTTTCAGCCACCAGAAGGTCTAGTGAAACTCAAAACAAATTGATGTTTCATAGTAGCGATGTAAACTACGGCCACCTAGTTGGGATTGTGTTAGCAAAAAAATATGTTAGTTTTCGATGTTAATGCATCCAGAAGGAAGAACGTCACATCTTAATCAAATTTGTCTTTTGGTCGCTTTTAATGATTTCTATCTGAAAAAGCCAAACCGACATTAACCCTGGATTTTGCTGTCTTTGTCTCACTCTCGCTGCGCAAAAGGACGCCATCTCTTTGGTCTGGCAGCCATTGTTTTGGACTTCTAGCTGCTGAGAGGTCCTCTGTGACTGGCTGTGTGAAATGACTACTCACAGTTCGAAAAACACTTCTTGTAACCTTTGCTACATGCCAGATGGGGGTAATGTCCAGACCGACTATAAGAACAGAGCAGAGAAGCAGGAATAACAGCAGAAGGGCTGTAGACAGCAGAGTGTCATGGAGAGGGGTAGTATAGCTGAGAGACACGTCCTGTCCTATTTTATCTTTATCAAACAACGTGTAAGTTAGTTAAGGCACCTTTAAGTTAGTAAGCAAAATTGTTGTACCTCCTCTAGAGGGACCTCATTGTCACCATTGAGATCCATAGCAGGAAAGAGGGGATCTGGGCCATCTCCCAGCCACACGAACATAAAACCTTCAGGCACACCCTTCTGCAGCTCCATCAGTTCCAGCTCAAAGACCAGCACTGCACTCCCGGGAACTCCTCCGGCTATAATAAACACCAAGAAAGAGGAGAGAGAAAACGATTCAGGGTGAAAACAAAGCGTGCACAGCGTGATCTGAGTAGTTCAGTTGACTTACCTCCGTTTTCACCATGTCCCGAGTGGGGTGGAATGACCACCTCCCTCCTCTCGCCCACACACATGCCACTTAAACCCTCCTCCAGACCCAGGATCACCTTGTTTGCACCGAGCGTTGTGGTGGAATGTGAGTCGTACTGGTCCCTGGAAAGTGATACAAAACCTCTTACCTATGTCAACAGAAACAATTAAAACAAATTCAAGCTAATAAAAGGTTTCCATGTATCGGAACTTTGAGCCATGCAGCCATGCATGCTGTTGTCATGGATACATAAATGGTATAATATGAGCAGTTATAGGTCCAATGAACTCCGTCAGACAAGGAGCCAGCAATCATTACATGCATGAACCAGGAGGAGGAGGATGCAGAGTGAAGAGCAGAGGGTGCTCACGAGGAGTACAGCAAGGTGCCATCCATCAAGGAGCAGTTATAACGATACTGGATCAGATCATCAGCTTCACTGGTCACATTGCATTCCTGAGGCTTGTGGGTAACTTTAATCTGGACTGGATCTTTGGGGTTGTGAAAATCAATGACATGAATGTCAAAGACCAGCACAGCAGAGCCAGGAATGAGGTTTCCTGCAGCCAGAGGGGTAAAATAAATAAATAGGGCAGTGTTACAAACATAAACAAGATTTAGGGGTTTGCTGTTCCATTCCACTGTAAATTCTTTTGAATTCTCCTAATAGCATGCATCAAGCTCACCAGTGCCGCCTTCGCCATATGCCATGTGAGGAGGAATTATAATCCTCCTTTTCTCTCCTATGCACAGCCCCTGCAGAGCTTTGTCCATCCCGTGGATCACATAGCCCATGCCGATATAAGTATTGTAGGTGCTGTTCCTCTGGTAGCTGTCAAAGGAAGTGAAGGGAAGTAACAATGTTATATTTTTATATTTTATTACTCTCTAAGTATGGAGAAATCTCATGTTTACCTTGAATCGAAGGCTGTGCCATCCTGGAAGGTACCGTTGTAGTGATAGCGAATGTAATCTCCAGTCACAGTCTTGCGGGTGCAGCCTTCAGGCACCTCCTTCACCTCCACGATTAGATCATCCTTAGGGTTGAACACATCAACCAGCAGCACTTCGAACACCAGAGTAGCCTGAGAAGGGACTATAGTTCCTGTTGAGGGGAAAGTAGTACTTACATTGTGCCTACACTTTTAGACATGCACTTCAATATGGAAAGTGTTCTGGCACTTTGCTTTCATACTGTAGCCTACAGAAATGACATCAAACCAATCAGTCTAAAAGATTTCAGTGTGTTGATTGAAAAATCAGGGTCTGATGTTTCATTAGAAGAAAAATGTTGACCAGTGCAGCGGTGCATTTCCCTGCTATGTTTTTGAACAACAGTGGAGGTATGTGGCATAGAGAACCAAGCTGATCCGAGACTGACAGACTGAAGGATATTAACTGTGAGCAGAGTCAGATCACTGCTAGTTTTAGTGGGGAGTGTTTAAAATACTGTCAATATAGAAAATGACCAAGCTTAACACTCAGCTAATGCTAAATACTTCCAAAAAGTCAGTGTTTAAATCTCATTACATCTGTACAAGTTTGAATTCCAACCTCTATAAACAAGCTTCTTTCACAGACTACAACATTAACCTGCAACACTTTGTTAGTCAGAAATAATTCAGACCCTAGCTGCAGCCATCTTGAATTTCATTATTCAGTACTGTACCATAGCCTTTCTCTCCATATGCCAGGAAGGGGGGAACAATGATGGTCCGTCTCTCTCCAACACACATCCCCAGGAGACCCTCCTCCATGCCTTTAATGAGGTCGTCCTGTCCCAAGTAGGTGTCATACGTGGCATTCTTTGAGTAACTAAAATAAAAGCACAGAAACACACAGGAGATACTTGTACATTCCTACACTAGACAACAGTGTAGCTCCTGTAATGTTTGGTCTCACCTGGAGTCAAAGGTTTCCCCAGACAACAGGGTACCGTTGTAGTGGTAACGGACAAAATCTGATGCCACAGTGGCCCGCTTGCAGATCGCAGGCTTGCCGATTGTGCGGATCTGGACTTTGTCCTCAGTGTTCCATATGTCCAGCAGGAGAACATCATACACCAACACAGCATCAGGGGGGATTACACCACCTGTTGAACAGCGCAGGCTGTCATAACCTAGCATAGACAATGTCACCAGCAAAGTGAATCAATGACATTTAACTGCTGCTTTCATCCCACCTGTTCCGATGCTTCCAAAAGCCAGATGTGGGGGGACTGTGATCCTCCTGCGTTCATTGACACACATGCCTTGAAGACCACGATCCATCCCTGCAATGAGTCTGCCCAGGCCGACCTGGCTGGTGAAGGCTTTGCCTCGGTCGTGACTGCAGACAGTGGGGACAGGTGAATGAGAGGTTTCTCAGGGCTCTGGACATGGTGCCATGAAAGTTTCACAGTCCTATAAAGTCATCATCCAACTTTGCGCCTACATCAACAACATTATTTAAAGGGATTTTACCTCTCTCAGCTTTACTGTGATTATAGTTTGTTTTTACATTTCATTTTGAAACCCTGAAGGTTTGTTTGGCATGGAGTGACAAAGACCCACCAGGAAAACACCCTTTTCTTTACCTATAATTAATTTAGCCTAATAAACTAATGAGTGTTGAAAAGTAATAGGCTACCGCTGCAAAAAAAAAAAAAAGACGTTTTATAGAAACACCAAGTTTTGAAGTTATCAGTGTGACATGTCTTAGACCTATTGCACTGTGAAACAGGTAAGAGAGTCGATGCGACTGACACGTCTGCAGTTGTTACCTCAACTGCAGTAATTGTCTAGGAGCCTAAATCCATCGGGGAAATGGTTGAAGAATTTCTGCTATGTTTGCCGCAGTGACTTTAAGGTAAAACCATTACTGCAACTTGCACCTTTATAAAACGCTCTGGAAACACAGTAACAGTTGTAACGGGGCCGCCAAACATAGTAACAGTTGTAACGGGACCTTTATAAAACGCTCTGGAAACACAGTAACAGTTGTAACGGGGCCGCCAAACACAGTAACAGTTGTAACGGGGCCGCCAAACACAGTAACAATTGTAACGGGGCCGCCAAACATCATTACATACGGGAATCTCTGGTTTCGCTATAACGTCACCTGGAGTCAAACTTCTTCCCGTCTGAATAGAAAGATCCGTTAAAATGATAGCGGACAAAATCTTCTGTCTGCACCTCTCGAGGACAAAGATTAGGTATGTAGTACCGATCGACCATAACATCCGATAAAGGCCCGGGACTGCAATTCACTGAAACTAGTGTTACATAAATAAAAAATAAAAGCGATGATATTATTAAATCCATTTGAAAAGTTATAAGAATAGGTCGCAGAGCAGAGGGAATCCGTGCGCCAACATATGATGTGGAAACAGCTACATGCGAATAAGTTTGGGAGAGTCAGGCTGTGTGAAGCCCACTGGAATAAGAGAAACTACTTCCGGTTACAAAATAATTTCTTCTATAAGAACGTGAAATAATTAAACACCCGCTACGATTGGCTGGGTTTCATCTGTTACAACCCCTCCAGCCACACTAACCCACTGGGTTCACACTGTTTTGTTGTCTCAGGGCAATGCTGGGCTGTTATGGTATAAGGTATAAGACCAAAGACTTTCACTTTATAATGATAGAAGAGCAGAAAATCTGGGACACTAAGAAGCTGGAACCAGAGAATGGTTTACATTTGTAATGAAATGTCATGTTTTAAAGTCTCCAGTTAACAGGCTATATGAGATGGACCCGTTGTCCCCATAAAAGATGCAAATGCACAACATTGTCCTATGGGTAACAAAAAGCAAATAGCGTCTTTCCAATATCAATGTATTTCTAAGCTCTCATTGGTTACTGGGACAAAAAGTGATCAAACTTCTCACCTTCAGCACAGACCATGCGGCCACTTCGTACCGTTTCCCATTCACATCACACCTGAAACTCATTGGATTGTTTATTAAAGACTATGTGATAATGTATTGCAAGTGTGAAAATAGAAAAACGTATGCTGGGCCAGACGGGGCTGAAAAGTGTTGCCTCAGGGGAATGCTGTACAGTAGAGGGTTAGACATAAAGGCAAGGCAAAATATTCCTGACTGGTTTTTATTTTGTGCTTTTATTCTGAACGGGATATCCACCGAACCTCGTCCCGTCTTTTTGTGGCTCACTTGACGCTTCCTTAGGGTCATATACTCCAAAAAGCAGCAGGAGGAGTGGCCCCTGCGCCCCCACCCACTTTTTAATGGAATTCTGCAAACGTGTAATTCCTGGCCTAGAGGCCTGGCTCATGATTATCCTCATGTCTGAAACGAGCAGAGAAATGTGCGTTTTTCCATAATAGTAAGCTATAGCATGCTGTTTGGTGTGCTCTGAGTATTTTTATATTGGATATATCTTAAACAGGCAGGTATTACACAAAGAATTTCTTTTGTACGTGTCTGTCTGCCTCATAAAACATCCACAATAAGACATCCACCAAAAGAGACTGCAGGGTCTCTAACATGCTATAAATGTGAAACTTTGTCCAGAAGTGTTGGGGCAACTACAAAAACGTATATTTTTTATTTTTGCCTGCTTACTTGGAATGGAGGTCCAAATAATAACCAGACTAAAAATAGGCCTCAGAGCTTTTTAGACAACTAATAGCCTACAGCATATTTTATAAATTATATATCAAATTATTTGAAAAACTAAAACCAGTAACATTTTTGTTAACGTTAAGTGTCGGTTCATGGCTGTAGTGGGTGTTATGACCCTGGACAGCACTGAGGAAAACCCTTTTCTGAGGTGAACTCACTGTGATGTCTGTGTCAAGTGATCCGGAGTTATCACCATTTATAACGGAAGTACGGACTTCTGTCTTCAAAGTAATTGTCAAGAGTAGCTTATGAGGCTTCTGATACAACATTGAACGGTTGATTAATTTGAATTTATGAGAAAAAACAATGCTCAGAGCTGCAGCCACAAAAATGTCAATACAATTAATTAAAGAAGAAGCTTTATTTATTGCCATTGCGACATATACCACAAGATTATGTTTTGAGGCGAGGGCCCCTGCGTACATACTCTCTTCCGGTTGGAAGACAACTGCTCTACCCACCACACTACTGTCATCTCCCCAGACAATCTGATCTAGGCATCATGACAAATATTTGTCATTTTTAAAAATCATTTAGGCCACAGTAGCCCCCAAAAATTTCCTGGCTGGCTCAAGATTTTTGGGGTCGACTGTGGTTCAGTGGGTTGAGCAGTCGTCTCCCAACCAGAGGGTTGGTGGTTCGAATCACGACGCCTGCAGTCCACATGTCAAAGTGTCCTTGGGCAAGACACTGAAACCCCAAGTTGCCCAGTGATACAGTGTTCCCTGTAACGTATTAGCTTGATTATTTTTTTTAATATTGTGCCAAAGTTATATTGGTCAGTAAGGAAAGCAAATTAAAAATATAAAACACCACAGCATGTTTCATGAATGGCTCACACTAACATTAAATATATAAAAATCCTGCAGAAAGGTCAATGGTGTAGGGTAACAGATATGACCCCTTCATGGGCAAACCAATGGGGCTTTTATTCTGAAAGTCTTAGTCAGAACCTCTTATTTTCTGCATCCAACTCGACGCGGTTTCTGGCCTACGTGCAGACAGACATGAATAATCACTGGGAAAGAAAAGAGGAAGTTTCCTGATCCATTCAAAACAACAACGGTCTCCTGTTGTAGCCGGTGAAAGTAGTGATGCTCCTGAAAAGCTTGTGTCTGGTCTTTCTCCTCCCGGCCTTGGTGGAGGCTCAGTATGAGAAGTACAGTTTTAAAAGTTTCCCCCAGAAGGACATCATGCCACTGGAGTCTGCGTACGGCTACGCGCTAGAGCAGTACGCGGAGCAGAACTGGGGAGAGAGCATTAGGTATCTGGAGCTCAGCTTGCGGCTCCATCGGTTGCTGCGGGACCGCGAGGCTTTCTGCAGCCACAATTGCAGCTCCGTCAGCCGTGAGGACGACAATTTGTCCGCCGACAGCAGCCTCCGCGTCGTACGCCACATCCTGCTGAGGGCTGCGTGCCTTAAAATGTGCAAGGCGAATTTTCCTGTGTTTAACCTCTCATACCCCCGAAAAGATTTACTGGAAACTTTCGAGAGAAGGATACCGTATCGATACATACAGTATGCATACTACCAGGTGAGACCAGGGCCAAGGTTGGGATGCAGAATACTGGCATAACTCTGAAGCTGTTGAAACGGTATTATATAATGCAACATTGTAATTGTAAAGTGTTCAAAGTGGTAGTGAAAGGTAATATAACATTACAGTAGGACATCTGGGTACGATTTGAAGTAGGCTATACTAAACTATATGGATTTAGCATTGCATTAACCGTGCGTAATGAGCGCATCTTAAGTGTCTGCACTCGGATCCTCCAGGCAGACTCAGTTTGATTCACCGAGGGGAAGTTCATAGCTGTCGAGATATGGAGTATAATTTCGCTGCTGCTTTGTTGCGCCCTCCTGCCGACCAGGCAGTAGTTGAGCATGTGCCACGTCTCTTCCAGTGCTCCCCTGAAACAATTCTCTTATTCTTCTCTGCTAGACCCTGACCCATGAGGATTACGTTTGCTTTATCTGGTGTTCAAACAGCTGCCTCTTTCAACAAATGCACTTTTAAGCATCCAGGCAGGAGTTACTGCATTTGTATTAACATTACAGCATTAAGATTAGATCAGTTTTTAGGGACTGGAGTGGGTAGTTGGGAGTGTATATTGCATTCATTTGATCCATTTAACCAGAGCTACCTTACATACATGTCATCACTTAATTTTTTGACATTTCTGCATGTGGCATCTCTTTCATTTTAATATTCAGTGACTTAACAAGAAATCCAGTGAGAGTGACTCTGATTCCAGTGGTCTCTTAGCAATAATTGGAGCAAAGGGGCCAGATATCATGTAATTCAGTGAGCAGTAGTAATGAGAGAGATGGTTTTTCATATTATAGATACATCAAAAATTCTGTCCAATCAAACTATTATAAGCTTCTGTTTTTCTACAAAGCCTCTTCCGGCTCTTTTAAACCAGGAACTCACAAAAAGATGAAGTATATTACTTTAGATTTTATAAAAAATAACCGTACTGGTTTATTCAGAGGATCACAGGTAAAATTAACATTACACGTCCAGATCTCTCCCACCACCAACCCGCGCGCAGGCAGCTTGGAAGATGAAAGACCCTGGATTTTAATCATTTTGGGCTAGCCCCATACTACGCAGGGACGTCAAACCGTGACGTCACCTGATATGCCAGCTTGCAGCTGACCATAACGTTAGTCAAAACATGAGGAAAAGTCAAGGTGTGTGGCTGTTGTTTTTGTGGTGTGTATCTAGAACAATTTGACATGACATTACACATTAAGACAAATATTAAAATTAGCATTACAGTTAATACTAACAACTCTTTGCCTGCAGCCTTGGCCTACATGCAGTCTGCAAGCACATTAAATTAAACTGAGCAGTTAACAGCCTGAGCTAGACATCCTGTCTCCACTAAACATTTCTAGACACCAAATCTCTGAATATCTATCTAACTAAGAAATAACCTAACACTATGGTAGCCATTTTAATGCTATATGTTCCTCCTCAGCTTAACAACTTGGAGAAGGCTGTGGCAGCAGCTCACACCTTCCTGAAGAAGAACCCGACTGATCCCTATTTGACGAAGAACATGAACTACTACAAGACACTGTTTGATGTGGAAGAATATCTCATCGACCACGAGGAGCAGCCATACGAAGTTTGTAGCTTATCATTATAACGGTGTATCAAGTAAAGACATGCTTCTCAAATTCTACCTTTTTTTAAATACATCTCTCTGTGATCCAGAGTGTATTTGTGAAGAGTGTGACGCTGTACAACAGTGGAGACTTCAGCAGTAGTGCCCGGCACATGGAGCAAGCCATCACGCAGTACTTTGAAATATACAGTCTCTGCTTAGCGAGCTGTGAGGGCTCATATGAGATCTTAGAGTTCAAAGACTTCTATCCCACCCTGGCAGGTGAGAAGAGAGGGCTTTAGGAGCAGTTTCAGTTTGGTATGATTAAGATAAGAAAATAACACGTTTGCTTCCCTCAGATCTCTACACTGATGTGCTGAAATGCAAGGTCAAATGTGAGGATTTCCTTACACCCAGCGTCGGAGGCTTCTTTGTGGAGAAGTTTGTGGCTACCATGTATCACTACCTCCAGTTTTCCTATTACAAATGTAAGAACTCTATGAGTGACACTGGAATTAGGCTTTTAAGAACAGGTTGCATGATATGTTTATGTAACAAAGATAATTCTGTGACCCTTTACAGTGAACGATGTGAAGAACGCAGCTCCTTGTGCAGCCAGTTACATGCTGTTTGACCCCAAAGACAAGGTGATGCAACAAAATGTAGCGTACTATCGCTTTTACAAGGAGCAGTGGGGCCTGGAGGAAAGTGACTTTCAGCCTCGACCCGTGAGTCAAGACTTGATTACTTTTACATTTCCAGATGCTTGGCGGTTCAACGAGAGGCTCAACCGATGTAGTTTAGAGGTAGCTGGAAGGTCACACTGGTTATAATAAACCAAAGCAGGTAAACTATAGTATATGGTGGTCTTGACATAGCACAATCTCGGTGGTAACTAGAGTCATATACTTGTGTAAAGACAGTTGGCAGCAGCTGCAGTGTAGACCTAGACTGGCCCATAAATGTCTCTGTCTGCTGAAGCTGCCCCAGTTTCAAATAAATTTGGTACTGCTATAAACACTTAAGGCTCTCAAACTGGGAGACCAAAAAGTGCAGTAAACAAAAACATAAGAGGTCAAATCTGTTGCTTAGTGCAGAGCTGTAAAACACTTAGGAGATTATTTGTTCTTGCCTGCTGATGTCACATTTGTTTTTTAGGAGGCCTTGAGGTATTTTAACCAGACAACCAAACAGAAGGAGATGCTGGAGTTTGCACTGAACTATCTACATACAGACGATGAGGTATGTTTCTACTGCAAATATTCACTAATCATTGTTTTTGGGTAGCTGAGTGATCTTGTGAGTGCATCAACCCTGCAACTGAAGCCACACACAATGAACCTCTTTTGCAGTTAAAACACAATGTCATGCAATTACAAACTTAATAAAGCATTTTTCAGAAATGCTTTCTTTCCTGTCATCGCTATGTTGGTGTCTCTGACCGATTGACAGCAGCTAGCATTTTATGGAAACAAGGTCTCCATCTATGTAGATAGATAGTGACTCAGGTATATGATCTAAAGTCTGCTGACATTAGCTAATATTAGCCATTCTTCCATTGTGCTATGGTGGCGGTGGCAGAGTCAGACAGCTCAAAAATGTAGCAGATTGAACCCAAATTATTTGCATAACTAGATAAACCTGGGGGGGTAGTTTGTGTCCATGTTTTCCAAAATAGAAATTCCTTATAGAAACAGTGGGCTATGGAAAATTAGCCCACCTCCAAAACAATCCACTTGCTTCCAGGCTACTTTTCCGTGGCCCACCCTGTATATAAGAATAGACCCAGTGCAAGCTGCTGTTGAGATTATAGAAAGGGAAGTGTTAGGAAAAAGGCTCAGGGCATGAGAAGGAGAGAAAGAGGGGGTGAAGAATGCAGAAGAGAGAGCAGGAGGGGGGCTGTGTTTTCTGCCTGCACTGTGTGATATGTGGCTGGGAGGTGTTTAGTACTGAGGTTTTGCCACAGGCCAGCCCCTCCCAGTTCAGCTCACTGCCTGGACCTGAGAAGGGGATGGAAAACTGTGAGAGTGTGAATTACAGAAAGCACAAGCAATAGAGTGCAAGGAAGATAATAAAATGCTTGCTTTCTTGACAAAGTATTTTGTTTTAACTTTTTAGGACGTGGTAAGTCCAGAAGAAATGGCCACCTCTCACTCAGAGCATCCTGATGCTGAATTTGAGGGGATGGGGGACTATGAGGAATCCTTCCTGGCCAACTGGTGGCAGGAGCCCAAAACTAAGCAGGACACTGGAGAGATCCTAGACTGACATCTGTTCTCGTCCATAAGCAGAACATTTCCTCATTCAGCAGTCTCCCACCTCTCGTGACAACATACCAAAGAATCGTGACCTCCTTACAGGCAAACATTTATTCAGAACAGTATTTAGCTGAAAAAGCACAAATCACACAGAGATGTTCTCTTTAGCTCATGTGAAGAATTAAAAGACAAACGTAACCATCATGTTGATCAAAATCGTAGATTGACATAACCTGGCTTGGCTGCTATCAGCCTATTAAATCCATTATTTTTATTATCAGTCATTAGCATGTTTGCTGACTTTTTTGATGACTTTTCTACTGTTTTTATTAAGTTTTATTTAGTGAAAGCTTCAGTGCCATGGAAGGTGACATGTTGCTTTTCTTATGAGGAACGATTTGTCAACCTTGTTTTAATTTGCTCGTAATTAAAACAATATTTAAATATATTTTTTGTTACTTAATATCAAAATACCATCAGCTGTAGCGACCAATTTGATCACAGTAGTGTTCATTCATTTTCTACCGTTTGTTCCCTGAGCGGGGTCACGGGGGTGGGGGGGGGGGGGCAGCATGTCTTTGGGAGGAAGCCGGAGTACCCGGAGAGAACCCACAGAAGCACAGGGAGAACATGCAAACTCCACACAGAAAGGTCCCAGGTGGGGCCCGAACCTGGAACCTTCTCGCTGTGAGGCAACGGCGCTAACCACTGTGCCGCCGTAGTGTTGAAATTATTAATTTTTTATAACAATTCTGATAATTAAAATAGTTCTTTAAGTAATTTATTATGACAACAAGCCGGTACATTAACTGATAAAATAATGAGCAGGTACAGCCTCAGACTTTTATAAAATTCTAATTTTGCCCATAATTAGTCTCGTACCCACTGTAATTTCACATAAAGATAATTTAAAAAAAAACTTTGTCAGACACAGAAAACTAAAGCATAATTTTCAAAATCTAGTAATGCCATAAAAAAATTGATACCAGCACAGGAAGGCACCGAGATCTGAGAGTAGGAGGTGTGGTTTCATGTTTTAGTCCGAGTATTTTATTTTCCCTTCATTTCAATCCCCGTACAAGCCTTAGTTCATTCTTTCAGTTTCAGTTCAAAAACTGGCAAAAACCTGGGGTATGATGCATCTCATTTTCTCTTAACTTCAAGACAAACATTTGTATTTGATACCAACTCTTTACATATTGTAATAATAACAATAGTGCATCTGCCATAGTGCAAAGCTCAAACGAACCTAACTGACTTCATACACACATACGATGTCAGACGAGCTGCCTCCACAACCCCAGACTAGATCTCTTTAATCTCATTTACAGCGAGGATCAGTAAAAAGTCTCTGGGTTGAGTCAGTCACCCAGGGCTCAGAGCTATCAACAAATGTACAAAAGATTCATGGCATTTCAGTGACAGCTGGAATGATAAAGGAGACAGCAAGACAGCCAGCTGAGCTGTTTCGCCACGTTTAAAGATGCATGATCAGCGTTGACTACAGGAGAGAGTTGCTGTATGTTTGCTGAAAAAGATAAAACCCATTATTGTAACACAGCTTTAAATAAATCCACATACAGTGCATTTAACATTCAGTATATCTTGCACATATTTACAAGTATGTGTGCGTACAGTTGGCCAGTGCTTGTTTTCTGTAGATACATGACATACAAACTGATGAATTCTTTATTAATATACTGCTTTTATGGTGCCATGTTTGCAGCACACACCCCTTTGTAGAAAGTTGATCTTTTCGAGGTAAAAACCTGCATATCTCCCTGTGATAGGAGGAGTGTTAAGGTGTACATGGACACAACCGTCCCCAGTACTAATGTAAACACCCATACGTTCGTCCTTTCTTGAAAAAGCTCTTACGCCCATACATTCACTCGTGAGATAAATGTACAGAATAAACCTTCTGAGCGTACCAACGTATGGCCTGAAAGTGGTGAGCACACGTACAGACGGTAACTGTGGAATGTATGTTGGTTGGTCTGCGGTTGAAGACACAAAGTTAACGGTCTATGCTTCTGCAAAGTTCACTGTCTGAAAATCATCTGAAAACCATAACACCAAGCTTCCTTTTTTTGTACCTGAAGACTTGTTGTTTGGGTAGGGGGCAAATAAAAATGCACATTATTGTATATGATTATTAGTCCCTCCTCAGTCTCTCTTTGGAAAACGTTAACAGTTCAGTGTAGGATTTCTTTTCAGTTATGTTACCAAACCTTGCAGATTAAAACAGGTTGCTGTCCATTTTGAGATGCACTTACTCAAGGCCTGGCCTCGGTTCCTTCTCCTTTAAGAAAAAAGGAAAATATTCAGCTCCTGTCATGTTATTTCAGCTTGTTAGATGGCCAGGCTGTGCTGTAGTCCAGCTGTGGACTCAAGTGGTGGCCTGTGTGTACAGGCAGGCAGGCATTGGAAAGACATGGTCCACTGCTGATATGTTCTTTATCGGACAGTTTGAGATGTGAGGAAAGGAGGTACACAAATGCTAAAGCACATTCTTAGAGCCATTGGACTGGAGGAAGACCCTGGTGTCTCCCACAGGGAGAGCCACCTGCTCGCTCTAGGTGTGGCCCGGACACAATGCTCAGTGAGCTGCTGGCAGCAGGCACAAGAGCATGATTTGGCTGGTCCACAAGTCTTGAGGACACAGCCCGGCTGGAGGACAGAGGAAAAGAGCGTGGAGGAAATGATAATCGGAAGATGTTTGGAGAGATTTTGGGACAGGAGTGGAAGACTTTTTTTTGTTCCCCTCTTCTCTGATGTGGAAACGACACAGTGCGAGGAGGAAGACAGGAGTAGACGGAACACGGACAGAGAAATGGACGTCCTATCCCCCGCCAGATCTGAAAGAAGTGGAAAAACAGATCATGGACAGGTGGTTGCATAGGTGACAAAAATGAATATGCCTAAGACGTTATTCTGCTATACAAGCAATTTTATAGCACTGGGAACAGTTTTTTTTTTTTTTTTTTTGCAATAACAAATGGGATGAAGCATTCAAGCAAACGTAAGATGCACAGAGAGCATAGCGCTCTGTGGGGATAAACCATGGGATGACCTTGAGATAGTGAGTGGTGGATTAAGTAGCCATGCTTAGTGAAAGAGGAGTGGGACTGGATGTTTTGTTCATCACATGACCATGGTCCTACAAGTTATACCTTCCTCTTCGAATGTTCCTGCATCCCATGAGCACACATTGAGAGAAAAGACAAAATGTCAAGACATATCAGTGATGATAGAAATAAATTCTGAAGCTAATTATCTTCCATTACAACTTGCACAAAATTTGACAGACAAATAAGCATTAACGGTAGAACTGCACAAGAAAAAGACAATCCAGTTTACAGTTAAAGCATAAACAGGCTTAATTATGATATGTGGATATAAAACATGAATCAATATTTGAATTATTTTCTTTCATTTTGGACCGGTGTCAGAAAAACATGAATCAAATAGTGACAGTCATTCAACCCATTGTTCAGCTACCAACACATGCAGCAGTAGTCTACAGTAGTCATAGCACTGACCCATCCATTCCCATAGAAGTAAACACAGCACTACAGGTCTGACTATGAAGAGAAAACTTCCTGCTAACAGCTCATGCTCTCATGCACAGACATTTACCTCTGGCCCTAAAAGGACTGACTACGTGGAAGTCATTCTGCTTTTCAATTAACCAGACTTTTTGCCAGCCGCATCTATCTAATGAATGTAAGTGTGAGTAATGTCTTAGCAGTTCTTTTAGGTCAGAGGACAAGGAATGAACAGTAGCGGGCATGCACAGGTGGAACAGTGCAGAAACACTTCAGTTGGGGCATTCAGGGTTAGGATGCTGCACACAGGAAAGAAAAAGGACAATGCAGGCTAAAAGAGCACCATGGGTAAAATATATTTCAAAATGTTGCTTAAGTTAATCCACTGTAACCATGACATTTTTCAGTACTATACAAAAAGGATTGGAGATGTCTTAGCAGAAAACTGCAACTAGGGGGGGATCTTCCAAATCTGGCAGCAGTGGAATAAGAGAGGTGCTGCAGTAGTTCCTGGCAGAAAAACATCTCAGTCATCAGTCCTGTCCTGTCATTATTACGAAAGGCTGGGCTAGTAAGGGGAGGGAGGTGAAGGAAAGCTGATTCAAGATTCAACGACAGGTGTGATGTTTCCTATTTCCTATGAAGTTTGACGCCAAAAGCAATTCAAAAATTAGCACATCTCGGGCTCAACTCCCCGGTTCCCCTCCCTGGACTGGTGACGACTTTGCAAAAAGGCGGGGCAGGGGGCAGGGGTCCTGTAGGTAGAAGCAGACATGTACACAAAGGCATGCCAGAACTCTTACTTAAATCCCCATCCTGTTCCCCCTAGGACTATAGCTGCCAGGAGAATAGCACCTGCGATGGACCCTATTATGATATTGGTGCCACTGGGACCTGCGCAGAGGAAGGAGGAGGGAGGAAGGGTGCGGAGGAAGAGGAGGAGGGGCAGAAATAAAACAACACCACTAAAAACACACATCAGAAGACAGCATCAACACTGTACATCAACAACATCAACTAGAGAGAGAGAAAAGCAGATGGTAAGATACCTGCAAACAGAGAAAGAGAGATGAAGGGATAAAGGAAACCAGCACATGGGGTGGAGATGGGAGAACGGGCGGGTGAGCGAGGGAGGTCAGGGAGACAACAGTTACGGGAAAATAAAAAACAAAAGGAGAGAATCTATATTACTTTGTTCTCATTCCCCCTCTCCTGCTCTTTCAGCTGGACACCCTCTTGCTCAGGGTGGCTTTGGCTTTTTTTGACCCTATGAGAGCAGCTGCTCAATTGCTCTGTCATTGGCAGACTGCAAGAAAGTAAGGAAAACACTTGCTTACTATGCAAGACATACAGTACTGTAGCACCACACTGACGCACACACTGTACATGCACATGTGCTCTAATGGATCAACACAAACCCACACGCTTCCAACGGTGAAACCAACTTTCCCACATTGATCAGGTGAACCATTCTTTGTGTTTGTGGACAAGCTACAGCGCTTTGTTTTAGTACCAGAGAAGCTACAGTGGTGATGGCAGAGACTATGAGGGGGATATGAGAGGCAGACAGAAAGAGAGGCACAGGTGGTTTCGGAGCAACTATGGACCTTTCTTCTCTGGACCTGTCAGGACTGTAGGTTCAGGGATGGGATCAAAGACACTGCAGTCCTTCCCAGTGTAGTCCCTGTCACAGATACACTTCACCTCGTTACTGCAGGTCTGCAAGAAACAGCCAGAGAGAGGGAGGGAGGGAGATGAAAATCAAGTGTAATAGCTGCTAATAGACAGAGATGAGCACAGAAATAAAACATCCACAAAAGAAAAAAACTAGTCAGCAGCATTTCAGTAACTGTATGTCAACAGCTTGCTTCATACTCTTTCACATGCCCAGTGTTAAATGGCCCAAATGTCTTTGCACCATCATACTAGAAATATGGATGTTCATGATTTTATTTTTATTTTTTACCCCATGGTCAGAACAAATGCGTCCAAAGTTGGATCCTGGACAGGTGCTGAGGTTGAACGCTGTCACAGGGAGGCAGCGTCGCTCCAAACACATCATGTTGGGACCACAGGGAGTGCCATCCTCCACGTAGCCCAGATCTGAGCCATCCTCCAGCAGAGCATGGCCACCTCTGTGGGAAGCACCAGATGGTGTCATATAGGGGGTAGAAGAGGTGTAGAACTACTCATTTATCTTACACAGCCTTATGCTGGTTTACTGTTTACTTGCTCCTTGCATGGGGATATGTACATGCACATTGAGAGCCGATGTACCAGAGTCAAATTCCTCGTGTGTCCCACACACCAGGTCAGTAAAGCAGATTCTGATTCTGATTTAGGGACAGTTCATCCAAATTATTATACTGTTTTGGTTGTAGCAGACTACACGAATGTAACACATTTACCTGCAGTCCAGGTACTTGTTCTGGTGGTAGAGGGTGAAGCTGGTCACCTCACCCTGCAGGTTTCCAAACTTCGGCTTCATTGTCATGTTGGCACAGAATAAAAAGCCGCATAAAACATCCCTAAAGAGGCAAAAGTCAAGGACACAGAACAATGCATATCAAACTTAGAAGGTGGTTGCACTATTCCACTTTTCATTTTCAAAGGTTAAGACCACATGGTTTGAATCATTTGGCAGTGAACTAGTTAAAACAGGATTTCAAGATACTATGCAACAAAAAGGCTTCTGTTAGGCAACAGCCCAATCCCCACACTCACATATATGTTGTACTATACAAGCACATAGCAACAGTAAATGTGTAGCTCCTTTTTCTGTTATAACATTTGAATGACTGATTGCAGCTGTGGCTACCCAGATATGTAGCAGTTATTAGTAAAGCAAATTAATTGTTGGTTTCTGTCTTTTCATGGGATTTGGTCAAATGAAGGCAGGACACTTAAGCAGTGCAATATCTGCTTGGAATGCAGCTAAGCCACCATTTTTGCACAAATTAATAAAGAATAAAGTGTACACACTCTTCTTCTTCTACTACACTTCCTGTAAATGGAACCGGGATGTGTAACTCACGGCTTGTTGCACTGCAGCCAGCCCTGGCCTTCAGGACTTGGGCCGCAGTTGCCTTTTTCTGTCCCCTCAGCATTTAGCTTCTCATAACAAAACCTGTCTGCTGAATCTGGCAGGGCAAACAAATATATTTTAGACTGCAACCTAACACACATATTTCCTGCTTTGCTGTACACATGTTGTGTACTTACTATAACCCCACAGTCCCCTGCACTGTCCATCGCGAGTCCTGCATCGTCCACCGTAGCATCGGCCCTGGAGGGATGAGGCAACACTAATTCAGTATATGTCAGAGTGTCAGAGTGAGCTGCAGACCAAAAAACCTGCTACAAACCAGGCCTTACCTGACCGTTCTCACACATATAGCCATCCAGCTTGTGGACATTGTGAGGGCACTGCAAAGCAAGAGAAGTTCACAATATACTGGACAATGGTTGCAGATTTTTTTTTTCCAGTGTTACATGCAGCCAACTCTACCTGGCTGGAGTCTCCGGTACAGGCCTCTGGGATATCACAGTCATTCACAGCATCTCGACACACCACACCTCTCTGCTCATACTACGACACAGCATCAAAAGGCATCAGGTACATTCAAGTGTCATCAGTTACAACACAGATTATTTCCAGTGTTGTTTACGCACCACACACAGTGACTGAAAAGTCTGTAAATGTAGTGACAAGAAATGTGACTTTACTTGTTTTTGTTTGTGACATGGCTCCAGGCAGTTTTATTAACTTTTCCTAAATAGCTTTGATGATCCTTATTGGGGGAAGAGTGACAGTCAGTTCAAATCTCACCTAACCAGATCTTGAAAATATATATATTTTTTAAATATTTCTTTCAACTTAATGGACAAAACTGCAGAAGCCATGTTGTTGATTAAAAAAAAAAAACTTTTTACGTGCAGAAATAATGTTACTGGCATTTTTTCAGTAGTTTCTTTTCCATGTCCCCAATTTGCAACACTCATATCAAAAAGTAATTGATATTTATTTCATTGTTTGAGTTCCTGTTATATAGGCTGACTCACCTTGCAGCCACTGCAGCAGAGTCCATTACTGCACATGGCATCATGGGTAAGTGTGCACTTTTTACAGCAGGCTCCTCCATTACGGGCGCACTCCTGCAGACACAGGCACGATGCTCAGCAGTGTTCCAGGAAACATCACCACCTCCAGTGGTCATACAGTGACAGGATGTGGAGATGTGTCCGATCTGCAGCAGGTAAAAGATCGAGGTTTCATGCATAATGTTAATTGCGTACTCACCACCTGGGATCCACAATCACATTCCTCCCCTGGTTCTACAAAGCCATTCCCACATTCTGGGGGGTCCAACAGCTGTGGGAGAAAGAGAGGGGCACATATGTAAGTAGGAGACAGGTGGAGGAGGGATGAAATGTGTCAGTAAGATAGAAGATTGGCTGGAAGTTCTGAAAAGGAAGAAAACAAAAAATATGCTACAGTCCTGTAAGTAAATTCTGATGGCACTGAGGATAACTCATTAGTCAACAACTAATGTTAAGATCCTGCATCCCCACATGGCCCTCACCTTACTGGGCTTGTTGAAGAGGCAGCTCCCGCCCCCCTGGAGCAAGAACTGGATGTACTCATCAACACTGCAGCGAGAAAACTTTCTGGGCAGATAGTATCTGTGTTCGCAAACACACACATACAGATACACAAAGATCAAGACCAGGACACGACAAAGAAAGTAAAATAAAATTAAAAAAAAGCACAATGCCTTTCTGCCAGCAAAGAATGCCAGATCTCCTGTGGGTGTCTGCACTATCACTTTGCAATCTGACAGAACTGTTGCCATCTGTAGTAAGATATTACTCAAGTGAATAACTGAAATCTGTATTGTTCCATCTGGTAAAGAGAGCCCAGTCCGAGTCAGTCATATAGTAAACACTTATAATTCACCAGTTGTAATTCTTACTTGGCTGATGTTTCAACAAATGTGCTTAAATACATCAAATGCAACTGTGATTATCACTGGCCTGGCACAAGGAGGGCTGAGTTAAAGTCCCTCTGTTACAGGTGTTTAATTGCCTACTTGAGTGAAATGAATGGAACAAATCTCAGCACGACAAGAAAACTGTTTAGCTGTCTGCTGTTAAATCATGCCAATAAACAGAAGAGATGCATTTTAGAGCTAGGTTATATATATATATATATATAAATATATTTATTTATTTATTTTTTGTCATCACAGGTGTGAGGTGGAACTTTACCCCGTGTCTTCCATGATGCAGCCCAGCCAGGCATCTGGGCACTTGCAGTCGCCTGTGAAGAAAAGAAAATGAAGAGAGATGAGGAGGGGCAACGGTGGTGTAAATAAATCAGGGAAACAATAACATGGTGATCACAATTTACAACCCAAGCTGTGACAATGCACATGCTGCAGCAGGTTTTGGAAAAACAAACCTTAAGCCTTTCCACAGACCTCATTCAGAGACTTTTCTTAATGATAGGGGTATGGGGCCTAGAGTGTCCACAGAGCTCTTGTCCTGGCATTGAATAATGTACCTGATGGCTCTTTAACATTAATCACAGAGCCAACTGCTCGGTAGCAGCGGTACTCTAACTGCCACCACCTCCTTCTTGCACGCAGGTGACTCATCGCCTAATAGAGGAGTCTAATTACAGAAGAGAACTGCTGGACAGGGATCTCAATACCCGGCACTCTCTGTAATACCCCCTCACACCCAGCTACCAATCTCTTCTCTCCTTATTGTACTTCTTGCTTCCCACACCAATATTCCTCTCTCTGCTTCACTGGTTCATTCAGCTCAACCCTCTGTTTATAATTCTCCCTATCTTCTTAACATGCCCAGGCCTTTCTGTACATTCCTTTTACCTGCAGAGTTACGTGCGTTGTTCCACCTCATTCCGATGTTCTGGCCAAGACTCTGGCATAAAGTGATAGCCATTGCACCAACGTTCCCATACTGAAATGAACAGATACAGAACCCTTTATAAAAGCATAACTGTGAGGGGGAAAGATATTAGTATGAAATCCTGCAGATAACTTGGACCAGTGGGGGTGGACTGGAACATGGGGGAACATCATCTAACAGCATCGCTAAAGCTCACTAATTAACATACCTCATTTATAACTGTCATTTTTTCCAGCTTTGGACAGAGCCTGGTTCTTTCTCCCTGTTTCCAGTCTTCACACTAAATTACAGTAAGAAAACCACCTGCTGCATACAGCTACATGAAGATTTAAGAGCAGTATCAATTGTCTCACCTAACTCTAAGCAAGAAAGCAAATAAGTGCATTTACCCAAATGCTGAACTGTTCCTTTAGATCATGGTTTATCTTACAATTCTAATACAACTCACATGAATTCAATAATTAAAGAGGTTTAATGAAACCATCTTCATTTTAAGTTAGCATCTCAAAGACCTTAATGTTCAGGTGTAAATTCAGAAATGTATATTCAACTTTGGTTTAAATCTTTAAACATAAGTTTTCTGATCAAAGATTTCATTTAAAATTTGTCAACAAAGAGGAGATAAATATAAAATCTAAATGCAAAATGTTCAATTAAACAGGGATTAACCTTTAAATTAATTCTACTACTGTATAGTGATAACAGTAAGGTCTAGACCTTACTTTGTAAAGTGTCCTGAGATGACTTTTGTTGTGATTTGGCGCTATACAAATAAAATTGATTTGATTTTGATTTGATTAATTCCCATTGATGCAACAAGAAATGCCTCACCTCGTTGATGCCTCCTCCTCTGGTTAGCGAGCACACTCCTCCTGTGTAGGCTGTCCCGCTACGGCTACTGTGAAACGTACGCCCTCTGAGGTGCACGAGAAGGGTATCGTGAGATAAAATAAAACCTTATGTCATCTAGAATCAAGCTTGAATGATTACTGTTATTATTGCTTTTGCGGTGCTCTTACGAGAAAAGATGGACGACATCGCTCTGCTCTTTGATGTTGTCCTTTCTGTACTTCATGAAGTTCTGCAGCGTTATCAGTGGGTCTTCCACTACTGGCATCATATTTTTAGAGGTCCAGGTTTCCATGGCAACCAGCACAATCCTTGTGTTCAGCTGTTCCTTGTAGATCTGGGGGACCAAAAATGCCTGTCAGCTTACTGCTGGCTTGTCGTTGGCTTACACCTGCGCCGTGAACACCTGTGCATGGAGAACTGAACACTGTCCAGGATAAACGTGAACACGAACGCTCACATTCTCCTTGACAGGTGGTCGTGTGTGAGCAGAGTTTAGGATGTAGGAGGATTATAGTCCTACAAACAAAGCTCTTACCGCATCTGCCATGTTGACCACTGCTTTGGCAAAGTTCTTCGTTTGGCTGCTTGAGAGACGCAGCTGTACAAACTGTAGAGAGGAAAAAATACACAGATGGCAGAAGAGACGGATGGCAAGCACACACGCACTCATATTTGTACTTCTAAACTTGTAAGGACCATTATAAAGCATAAATCCAATCATGATAAAAACAAATACCACTCCTAATTCTTTCCATGCTCTATAAAGTCTGTAAGGTGGAGAAACTGTCATCCACCTCTTGCATTCTAATGTTAGTAGGTACAGAGTCAGAACAGATTACTATATATGACGTAACACACTCAAGCCTCTTTAGTACAGTGAGAGTACATATTACTGAAAAAGCAAATGAATATTTATCAATTTCTATTTTGCATTTACATTCGTGTCAAGTCTCAAGGTCATTTGGTTTTACAGCATTAGAACCATTTAGGAACTCAGTCAGTTCTTATTCAATCAAAATCCAATCATAAAACAGCAGTAGCTTATTTTTACAGGAACTACTTTCATCTCTTTTGAGGGTACAATCCATAATTTTCTTTGTTGCAAATATATTTGCCCTAAAGGTTTTTAATTTACATTCAAAGGAAAACAAGCTGTTTTTCATTTCTTTCCATTTTCTAATATCTGCCTCATCTTCATCTTAATTTTGTCCATACTCTATGAGGGCAGTTCACACTGACATTTATATTTCTGGAGGCAGCTGTTTTCACCATGACATATTCTGATGTTAGTGTACACAATGAAATCACTAGTTGGTCTCCTGTGTGACGCAGAAATATAAAAGCTATTCTGTTTGTACAGTGTAGGACCATGTTCTTTTGTTCTACACCCTGATGACAATCAGGTAAATACACCCATCAGAGGTCAGCCACACAAATGTGCTGGTAGATCTAGGCATTGTTGGGCAGCCTCTCTGACCCACACTTCTCTTGTTTTTCTACATGATCAGTAGCAAAATGTACTATAAACTCACCATGTCATTGTCATTGACCACCATCAACTCAATATATTTTGTCTCAGTCGGGACAGAGGGTTTGCGAACAAATCGCTTGGATCGCCTCAACCCCCCAGACGCCTGCTGCTCCTTCCTTTTGTCTGGTCTTTCGTCATCACTGCCACCTCCTCTGCTATCCCACTTGCTGTCCTCAGTACAGTCTAGACACACAGAGAAGCAGAGCTGCAGGAGGTTGGAGTAATATTACTTTCTTCAAGCAAGTTACAGCGTAATTAATTACTACCTCAATTTCAGTCAAAACATTACAGTTTCAAAAAAAAAAAAAGAAGCTGTGACTGTAATTATTACATAATGGTGCCACATATGACTGCTTTGGTAGTGTATTCTCTCATGTGTTTTTTTCCCCCCACATTTTCTCAGTCTTCTGCAACCCACCCCGGATATGAACCTTCTATGGGACTTGGGGAAAATGCAGGCAGAGAAGAGAGCGGGACCCCTGGTTAAGTTGCAATAGAGAGGGACCCAGACGCCGCTCCCATCTATCCACCTAGTGAATTTTCACTCTCTAGCCAACATAATGGATGAACGCCTTCTCCTCAACTGGACTAACTTGGACTTCTCACCCTCTGCTGCTCTATACTTCATGGAGACTTGGCTTAGCAACTCCATCTTGGACAGTGCGATAGCAATGCCGAGGTTCCAGGTATACAAAGTAGATTGCGTAATGGGGTTATTTGGGAAAATGAGAGGAGGCGGAATCTGCTTCTACATAAATGAAGGTTGGTGTAAAGATGTTACCGTGTTAGAACAGACTAGCAACACAAACTCAGAGACGCTTTTCATCAACTGCAAACCATTTTATTCTCCCAGAGAATTTTTGTCATTCACTCTGGTCGGAGTGTATATAAGACCACAGGCCCACGCTAGAGCACTACAGCACCTGGCCAAACAGATAACTAGCATGGAACTGAACATGCAGAGTCCCCACTCAATATTCTAGAGGATTTTAATAGAGCAAATCTCACCCACAAACTACCCAAATACAGGCAGCACGTCAGTTGTCCCACCAGGGACAAAAACACACTGGACCACTGCTACACAGTAATAAAAGACACCTATCGCTCTGTCCCCCGTGCAGCCCTCGGTCTCTCTGATCACTGCATGGTTCATCTCATCCCAACAGAAACTTAAAGCTACGAAGTGGTCAAAACAGTGAACAGATGGGCCGAGAAGGCAAAGTCAGAGCTACAGGTTTGTTTTGACTGCACAGATTGGAGTGTATTTGAGGTTGTGTCTACATACCTGGATGAGCCCACTGAGACTGTGAAATCATACATCAACTTTTGTGAGGACATGTGTGTGCCCACCTAGACCCTATGCACATACAACAACAACAAATTCAAGCAGCTTCGTCGTGCCAAAGAGGAGCCCTACAGAAGTAGGGACAGGATCCTGTACAGGCAGGCCAGGAACACACTGACGAGGGAGATCAGAGCAGCAAAGAGGAGCTACTCTGAAAAGCTGAAAAAACAAAACTGTTTTGAGCCAACAACCTCTTGTCTGTGTGGAGAAGCCTGCAAAACATCACTGGCTATGTGTTTTAATGTAGATTTGAGAAGATCTGTGATAAGGATGTGCATGGCCTGTTTAAAAAAAAAACAAAAGATCAGGAAGGCACCAGGCCCAGATGATGTGACCCCCTCATGCCTGAAAGCTTATGCTGATCAGCTGGCCCCCATCTTCACACTTATCTTCAACAGATAACTAGAGCTGTGGGAAGTCCCCTCTTGCTTCAAACACGCCACCATCATCTAGGTTCCCAAGAAACCCTCCATCAGAGTGAATGACTACAGACCTGTTGCCCTGACATCTGTAGTTATGAAGTTCTTTAAGAGACTGGTGTTGGCCCACCTGAAGGACATTGTAGACCCCCTGATGGACCCCCCTGCAGTTTGCCTACCAAGCAAACAGGTCAGTGGATGATGCAGTCAACATGCCACAGCATTACGTCCTGCAACATCATGACTCACCAGGGACCTATGAAGAGGTCCTCTTTGTAAACACCATCATCTCGGACATCCTTCACTCTAAACTGACCCGGCTCACTGTGCCTGCCCACACCTGTCAGTGGATCTCTAGCTTTCTGACAGACAGGAGTCAACAGGTGAGACTGGGGAAAACCACATCCAGCACCAGGCCTGTCAGCACAGGCGCCCCCCCAGGAATGTATGCTCTTCCCGCTGCTGTTTTCCCTTTATACAAATGACTACACCTTAGAGGACCCCTCTGTTTAACTCCTGAATTTTGCAGATGACACAATGGTCATTGGTCAAGTCAAGTCAAGTCATATGCACTGTGAGGAAACATGTTTCCCTGTACAATGGTCTCATCTAAGATGATGACGAGTCAGCCTACAGATGGGAGGTTGAACAACTGGTCCTATGGTGTAGCTGCAACAACCTGGAGCAGAACATACTCAAAACAGTGGAGATGACAGGACTTTAGGAAGAGCCCCCCACCACCCAAACACACTCAGAAGCACTGCATCAGCAGTAGACTCCATCAGGTTCCTGGGCGGGCTCCACAGTCTCCCAGGACCTGAGGTGGACGTCCAACATCAGGACCATCACCAAGAAGGCACAGCAGAGGATGTACTTCCTGCACCAGCTCAGGAAGTTCGACCTGCCCCAGGAGCTGCTGATACAGTTCTACAGAGGAATCATCGAGCCTGTTCTCTGCACCTTCATCACTGTCTGGTTTGGCTCAGCAACCAAACAGGAACAGACTCCAGTGGACAGTCAGGACTGCAGAAAGAACCATCAGAGCCAGCCTGCCCTCCATGGAGGACCTGTACACCTCACGGGTCAAAAGGAGGGCAGAGAAGATTTCTGCTGACCCCTCACATCCTGGACAGGAACAGTTTGAACTCCTTCCCTCTGGACGGCGCTACAGGTCACTGTGTGTATATCTATATTTATAAGTACTTTATTTTTTAATTTCCTAACATGTATTTTTTTTTCTTGTTTGCACATTGTTTTCTTTTTTCTGTTCTCTGAGTCTTATGTTGTTTATTTGTCTACTTGTTGCCTTATGGAAGAGCATTATACAAACACACTGAGAGCCGCTGTACCGGAGTCAAATTCCTTGTGTGTCCAACACACCTGGCCAGTAAAGCTGATTCTGTCTGAATTAACTAATGGACAACCCATCCAATTATCACATTTGTTTAGCCTGAACTGTCCTCTTTCACATGAGAGAAAGTACAAGTACCTTCGTTGGAGGTTTATTAGACAGCAACCAAAGAAGTACTCATGAAATGTTATGTACCTATTAAGTAAATATTTGAAATTCAGTAAAAGGTTAGGTCTAATTTATCTAACTGAAAGCAAGACAGTTAGTTTAAAATGTAATAAAGATAGGAAAACACTTCAAAACATTATTATTCTGATGTGATATACAATAGTCATGTACCTGGGCAGTGGGGGAAAAGTCTGAGATCAGGCATCCTGTGAATTAAGTGAGCGCCATCATCCTACAACAGAATGCATCCAGATGACAACAGATACACTGGGACCTAAAAACAATTAAATCAGCATCCAGATGCAACTGACCTTTCTATCATGCTGGTCAATGACAATTCGGTAATTACCACTACAACCGCCATCCATTGCCTACTTACCTGATTGCTCCCATTGTGAATGGGCTCAATCCCGTAAGAGAAGAAGCCATCAGAAAACATGCCACTGAGAACCAGCATGAGAAAAACAGTGAGATGTCGAGCAGAATGGGACAGGAAATAAAAACAACACATCTCTAGTCAGCATGCGCAGGCAACTAGTATTTGATATTAAAAAAAGGAGGTGCAGTCAGACTCACCACAGGCCGTGGCAGGTGGAGACAGCTGCCCACGAATGTGTTAAACCTCTTAACCTTCCCTGGTAGTAGCAGTGTTCTCCTCCCTGTGGACACAACCGCTGACATACTTTAGGCTTGACAGGCACATTTTCATACTTCACTGAATATTGTGTCAGCTCTGAGGAAAAGCCTCTCAGAACCTGCGTGTGCGACTCCCCTCTCCCTCTATGGCATTTATAGCTCACTTTGTGACCTACTTGTGTCTTCTGCTCTACTCTGCCCCACCAACAATGGAAGTAGAAGTAGAGCCTGGGCTCTGCTGGTTCCTGGGGATTGTAAATCTGTTCTCAATGTACCAGGAGCATTTTAGCCATATTTTAAGGTACTGGTGAGTAAAAGGGGTGGATTGGAAATATGATTACCAGCAGGCTTAACGGACTCTTAAATTAACCCTGAACTCTGAGCTGATTAAGTTTTTGGTTCCAAAATAGCTGATCAGTCAACTCTAAATTCCTTCACTCAGTTAAGTGCACGTGATGAGTATAAAAAGCGATCATCAGTGGAGCTGTGATACTACAAATCACCATGGCAACAGGTAAATAAAGAGCACAGCCGCCATTTTAGTCCAACCTAGAAACATTCATGTGTGATAATGCACAGCAGAAGCAGTGAAAGAGCCTGAGCTGGAGAACAGAGCAAATAGGTGTGGTTTATGCACTCATTACTTAGCAGATGTGGACTGTCTTAATAGATGATGAAATGCAGGAATCCTATTGTTTGTTACATTCATTTATTAAATACTGCCTATTTATTCATCTCTAACCTGATGGGAACAAAGTGCTGGTGGCAGCAGGAGATGAAATTAAACTTGTAGGACTTATTTTTATTGATAGCTCTCTGATTATAACCTCATAGTATGACCCAGCAATAATGACCTTGAACTATTAGATGTATTTTATTCATTCACAGATCTTCCTCAGTTGTATTAAGTAAATCAGGTAAATTTAAACATATAAATGCAGTTAAATCCAAGTAGGATTATATAGATTTTAGTCAAAAACTCACTTTTAAACTACATTATTCAAGTCTCTTAAAGTGAACTACTCATTCACATAATCTCCATAATATGATAACTATGAAAGGAATGTTTCACCAGTGAGACCACTCACAATAGAAGAAGTTATTTTTTCTTAGATCAGCGTCTTGTGTGGCTAAAGTCACATCTCTTTTTATTTCCAGAGATCACAGTAATGTACAGTAGATGCTGTACTGAGCTGAGGATGAATCCACAATGTCTAACTGGTACTGCTATGAATGTGAGGATCGCTGTCTCTGTCCTTATCGATCGGTCATAAAAGCAGTAACGTAAGTAAAAATAGGCCTTGGGTAACATCCTGTTAGACTACTATCCACCTGGGATTTTGATCTTCTCCCGACTTTAAATTCTGAAATGAAATGACGTGTCAGACTTTGCATGAGTGTAGGAGACGGAAAGAAACTCTGGGTTGGTTTAAGCTTCACAGAGGACGATACCACAGCAGCTGACACAGAGAATAAGAGATCTCTGTTTCTGGAAGTGAAAACTCTTGAGTTTCCCTCATCTCAGGGTTAGCTGCAAGTTTTCACTAAATGTATGTGTTCTTTTTTAAAATCATATTTTCTGAATAACAATAAAAAATAACAAATTATAGATAAACATAGGAAAAGTGATAAAAGCCTAACTACAACCACCCCTAGTTCTGACAATGTTTTTAGCAAACTGGGGTGTTTGAAACATAACTAGTAGACTCAACGCAGTTAGTTATGTAATTTGCCCCTCCATCTTATCTCATGCATACTATATGTTTAATAAGAGATTTATACACACACACACACACACACACACATCAGTGCTCCTAAAAATAAATAAGAGCATAGAGCCTCTTCAGTAAATCAACTCTCCTATCCCACACAGTTAGAGTTGAGAATTTGGACTAACTGTACAGTAGCCATTCTGCAACTGAAATGCACAAAATGAAAGTGAAAATGGAATTCTGCTTCGCGCTTTACTGCCCTTTGAACAGCCTTGACTATCAAATCTTCTGCTAGCACCCCTCCAAAAGGTTATGGCGGTGAAGAACAAAACCACCAGCAAAGGTGAGAAAACTGAGAAACAGTGGTTCACCTGGGTCAAATCAAGTTCAACAGGGTGTCTCAGCCCCGTTGCAACAGCTCAGGCAAAAAAGGCCTTAGTTCTCTGACTAGAAATAACAGACTGGTCTGGTGAATGCATCACACCTGCTGTGTCCAGCAGCAGCATCAGAGGCATCACATGAGACCTCCATCCAGCTGAGCAACAATCTGCCCTGACTACAGGTCTTCATCCCCAGACCTGCAAGTGTTCTCTTCCACCACTCTGGGAACAAACTGACCGTCTATAAACACACATACACCCCCAGAATTACTCCTCCCTGATGCCAAAGATCATCTTGTCTTTGATTTTAACTGACTTTTAACTGGCTCATTTTCCCTCCTCCTTCGCAGCTCAGCTCTTCCCTCTCTCTCAGCTTCTGTCATTCTCTTGGCTGCCAAGAACTTACAGTAATGACACTGCTGAGCTAACTGTTCGCTATGGAAACAGGCTGGCAATTGGTCAGGAAGACCAAGGAAGAGATCAGAACCGTTGTGGGTGGGGACATGGAGTGGTGGCTGGGTGGGTAGGTGGGTGCTAGGGGGGGCAGTGAATGGCACATTTGCAAAGAAAACAAACATTAGCGACGCTAGCCTCCTGGCTAACGGGATGCAGTGATGTTCCTCTGATCTGTCCTGACAATCATGCATCACATTAGCCGTCAGTGCTTTCAATCACTTCCCTGTTATCTCTGAACGATTCTTTATCTGAGCTTGTTCTGTCACTGCCTGTTTTCTTGGCCATCTGAGAAACGTCACAGCAGAGAGACACGCACACATGCCGCTGACAGGCAAACTCATGTACCGCACGCACACCGCCATAACATACACACCGGAAACATGGAAACTTACTTTTGAAGCACAGAGCAGGCAATGCACTTTCCATAAATAGACCAAACAAGAAGATTTGCATCACAATCACACCCTTGAGGACTAAAAAAAAAAAAAAACTAACAAAAAGCAGGCCTTTTGTTTTTAAAAAGAGGCGTTAATCAAAAAGATCTACATTAGATGACCTTAAAATATGAGCACTAGATCATGTGATCATTACATCTGACAAAAAAAACTTTAACTTCCTCCTAAGCCTGGGACTGCTGTCAGTAACAACACCCATGGAAAATGCAATAAAGTCTCTTAGTTTCTTCAGAAATGCTGCCCTACAGTTCTGGTCATCTCATTATCTATGTGTTAAAAAAACAAATTCACTCACTGAATCCTGTCCGTACACATCCCCACCCATTAAAACACTCTTACCACAGACTGCCAGGGTCTGCCATCTCGGTTAAAGTGCCGTTCCACATACTCTGAAGACAGGAGGTGGCTGCAAACAGAGAAGTCCAATCAATATCAATTACAGCTTTTTTCATGGACTCAAAATTGGTATCATCATGGATATTTTCCATCACTTGCTCCCCACTCAAATGTATTTGACAAACACATTAACATGTGGTGTTAATAAAATCAGTGGAACCTCATGCACATCCAGCAGTGTGCATCTGTGTATTATGTGACACATTGATATTCCCTATCTTGTAATGTAACATAATAGAGGTGCTAAGTGCATTTGCTTAAGTGTGGGGAAATGCTAATGAGAACAGCTGCAGTAAATTAAGAGCATCCACTGATGTGAGCATGTACAAATAAAAAGGGATTTAGGACTGTGATACCAACTGGTTTAGTTCCAGGTCCAGAGTGAAGATGTGTCCAAAGGCTTCCACTTGGAAACAGCTCTGGGCCAGGTGAACAAGCTGATACAAACAAAAGAGAAACAAATTTGTTAGATGATAAACTGAAGTGTAACAATATAAAAAAAAAAAAAAAAAAAAAAGTGCGGGCAAGTGTGTCATTCTGTAAAAGCCCAAAAGTGATTTTGAAAAAGGCTCATGAATAATTTAACAAAATCAACAGCATGTTCACTCTAAAAGCATCTAAGCAGCTGAAATGTTATGATTGATATAGTCCTCATTGATTGACACTGGCTGCCAGGCAGGACTGCAGAGAGCTATGGCTCTAAGGGGCTTGACAGAAGGTGGGGAGGAGGAGGACGAGGAAGAGGAGGAGGAGGAGAAAACTTTACTGGTATCGTCTATATTCAGCTGTGGTGTGCTAATGTCCCTAATGGACAGTTGCCAGAGCTGGGGAGGTGAGGAGACAGCAGGGCTAGGAGAGAGAGAGAATTTTACTGCAGACTAAACAGCACGTCTCTTCAGGAGCTCTGACTTGTGCCAGCAAGGCTTTGATCTCAGTCTGGAGGAACCAGGCTGCAGTGAATCACAGGGCTTTTACAATAAGATGCATCACTATACAGGCATTATTCCTTCCATTGAGTATGGACAGCAGATTTCTTGCAACTATCTTGGAGAAGCTCGTGCATGGTGTCCATCAGTGCCTTGTCTCTGTAACATGTAATGTTTCACTGCTTTACTTTGATCATTACACATCATTCTTTTGCCTCTGAACAGATCCAATGCACTAAAGACCTTTCAGGTCTTAATGGTTATTAAACACAGGGTGCAAATTACAGGGT